TTTTATTAATTTTTTACGATCAAACGTCTTACTATAGACAAATTTTTTGTTAATTGTCAATAAATTGACAAAAAAAGCGACTAGAACGATAACCGCTAAACCACCGGCTAAAAACTGATTGTTTACTTTAATTTAAATTCACTTTTCAACAAATATTTGTTAGATTGAAATTGATGTTAAATATATATAAAAATGCATATATATAACGCGTCTGCCACATCCATATTATATATATCCATGTAAACTCAAACGCTTGCATGTTTTTGTGCGTTGGAATTAAAATAAACGTTCATGCAATAATATTTATAGTCTCAATCTAAATTATTTCTTAAGTACTTTTTAGATATAATAAACCTAAACACTTTGGTAAAATATCAAAAGTCTACAAATCATCCTCAAATAAATTATCAATAAATGTTAAACCAACAAATCGGGCTAACAAAATCAAATTTAGTATTTACAATAATAATAAAAAACTTTGCACCTAATAATAAAAAACAACTGTAAATTTTAAAATGAAATCACGTTATATACCAATTTAGTTGCTTTTTTCACGAACATGCACGCCAACATGACACATATATCAGGATAATACGTCTTTACTAACTCAACCGATGTCTTACAATGCACAAGCATATTTGTGCGATCAACTCTCGTTTGTATTCAACATACTCTATTAATACAATTCGTAAAATTCTTGATAGCAACACAAAAGTAATATATACAAAAACACCAACTTTATACATCTTAACATTGCAGAACTGCCTTGAATGACAAAAATGAACCAACAATCACCACTCAACAAAATAGGTTTACATCACTTTTATTCTAGCCAGATGACTAAATTAACTCCAGCAAAGAGAATTATGATGAAAAGGAATATGACGTCAACAAAAAAAATTTAGACAAGATTTTTGTGCCAACCCATACCGTTTTGGAAAACGATTGTTTGAACAACCAAAATCCGGTGAATTGGTTGTTTTGAGAATGGAACTTGAGGATCACCTCGCACGATATACTCAACGACTGCTGGTAAATTGGGAAAAAATAATATGCACGTATTTTAACATGTAATTTGACAAGTAGGCATTAAAATAAACTTCCATGCATTTTTTGCAAGTATTTTACTATGCAATATAACGGATAGGCATTAAAATATTTAATAATTTATGATTGTTACAAAAAATTATCAGTTTAAATTATTTTAAATGGGGTGGTGGTGCTGCAGCTAATTAGAAAAAACGAACTGCATTTACTATTGCTTGTCCGTTCGTTACACTTGTAATAACATTATATATAAACACTATGGGCGGTGAATAAAAATAAAAAAACATTTTATTTTAAAATTTGGCAGTTTGTTTATTAGGATGGTAGAATGAAATAAATTATTATATCATTGTTTAGTAAGATGGTAGAATGAAAGAAATTATTATATCACTTTTAGTTATTATTTATGAAATTTAATATTTTAAAATTTTGCTTTAAAAAATGTCAAAAAGAACCTGTGCATTTTAATCCTTGGTGATACAATCCATAAAGAAGGGATCCGCACTGCGCACAAAATGTTAGGCTATTATAGGTAGTCAATTTGAAATTATGAGGTTTAACCACCTGTTTAAATTATTTATTTTATTTGATTTTACATCATCTTATAATGGAAAATAAAAAATAACACAAAACTGTATTTGACTGTTCTAATTCAATAATTCAATCAAACAAATAGCTTGTAAAGCGCCATTTCCGCAGTGTTCAAAAGCGCTCCTCAGTGATTTTTACAAACAGATGGGTCTTGAGCAGAGATGATTTAAAGTACTTTTCCTCAAATACTCAAGTACGAGTACAAGACCAAGTACCGAAAAAATTTCCAAGTAGAAGTACTATAGTTCAAGTACAAGTATATATATATATATATATATATATATATATATATATATATATTGGGAATCGACTTGAATCTACAAGTGCGTGAGTTTACAAAGGGTGAGAATTTTCGACTTGCTCTCGCAGGTCAGGTTGGCCAGTACGATTACATAAGTACACCATCTCTCAACACGACCAAAGATGCGTTTCTATGAACACCAAACTCGTTTTATGGTAGACCTGTTTCGTATCTTATGGGACTCATCAGTAGCCCGAGTTTAAACACCAGTTTAGTGCAATTATTATCTTAGTAGACAGCATTGCAAGCTAAGGTGTTTTTAAAGTAATTCACAGAAACACTTTTATAGACAGTCTTAATCTTTTGATATATATATATAAATATATAAATAAATAAATAAATATATATATATATATATATATTATTGGTAAACCATTACCCGCCATAGTCCAGACGTACGTTTCGACGTTTCGACTTCAGTAGCCTGCCGAATAAGATTTAAGATAACACAACTCAATTATTGAGGTGTCGCGACCAATAGGTAAGAACATCATCGCGTTGATACAAGGTTTAAGAACCCATTCAATCGCAGGAGGTATTATTGGTACACCATTATCCGCCATAGGCCAGACGTACGTTTCGTCTCTCACGAGACTCGCCAGTAGCCTGCCTTATATATATATATATATATATATATATATATATTTCGGCGTAATGCCATCTTCAGAGCCTAAATATTGTTTAAACATATAATTTAATTAAAGTAAATGCCTAATGTAAAATGTGAAAATATAGAAAATAAAATATGTATTAAATTGTGAAATAAATTAACCTTGTTGTAAATATCATAATAACTAAAGTTTATGTAGATTATATAAATAAAATAATGTAATTGAATTTTACATTAGGCATTTACTTTAATTAAATTATATGTTTAAACAATATTTAGGCTCTGAAGATGGCATTACGCCGAAACAGCGCTGTTAGCTTTATTCCAGTTTTAGATAAATATGAACTCAAACAATACCGCCTCGTTGAAATTCTTATAAAGAAGTTAATTAATGCAAAATGGGCAAACAATTTCAATGAAATTTGCATTTCTGAAAACCTCGTTCCTAAATATATATATATATATATATATATATATATATATATATAATTAATGCAAAATGGGCAAACATATTTAACGATATTTGCATCAAAGAAAACCTCGTTCCAAAATATATTAAACATGTGCTCCGAGGTAAAGAACGTAATGGACATATACTCCTCCTCAACCAACAACGTAAATTGGCCAGCGAAAAAGAGTCCATTCTCAGTCAACAATATAAAACGCTTTTATTATCACTAAACAATGACACTAACATCAATAATTTTAATAACCTCGACAATAGCATTCAACTAAAATATAACACCTACAATTCAACAAAACAGCAAATAATATTAAAAAAGCTACAGAGCTTATACAACGACAATATATTACTCCTTGACAACAAAATAAATCATACATCAATCTATCCACTCATAATTTAACCGAGGATGAGGTGTCTTTTTTGAATCTCGGCCTCAATATGCATATACGTCGGCCATACAGCCCGATATGCAAAGCAACTGAGCTAGAGATTTTGTATAATGCATGTTCTAACCTAAAAAAACAGCGACTGATTCAATTTGACAACTCTCTTCACAGTCAACTACAGGCCGAAGCCCATCGCCACCGTAATGCGTATCGCACACCGGCTCTGTCTAAAGAGTTACTCGTTAATGCCAAAGGTCTCCGTTGTAATCAGAACATCATTTTACGTAAATCTGACAAATCCAACATGTATGTTGTTATAAATCGTGTCGAGTACAACAACCAAATCTATAATATTTATATAATATAATCTATAATAATCGAGATTATCAACGACAACAGGAGGTGCGTTGGTCATATGGCTTCGTTGGATGTTGAGAGGTGGTTCACTAACGTACCTATCGATTATACAATTGACATCATCTGCAAATACGTCTACAATCATCCAACACTTTCACAATTGGACATCCCTCCAAATTTAATGATTGATCTTCTAAAGTCATGTACCGTTGAAAGTCCATTTGTCGCTCCCGACGGTTCACTGTACATACAGAGTGGCGGTGTCGCTATGGGTTCACCGCTTGGTCCTCTGTTTGCTGAGTTTTACTTGGCTGACCTAGAAGCTAAGATATTTTCCGACCCGACAAATAAACCGTTAGTATATGCTCGTTATGTCGACGATATCTTCATCATCTATTCTTCCGTTACCAATATTTACAAAATATTTTTCAAAATAACTCACATCTAAAGTTTACAATAGAATTTAGTACTGAAAAACGACTCGCATTCCTTGACTGCTTAATTGAGGAAAAAGAAGAGCAGTTAACTACTAGCAGTCGTTTACAATTTCATCCATCGTGCATACAAAATATCCTCTGATATCAATATTTTTAGATCCGAATTAATTCGGATCAAACAATTTTTAATCAATAACAATTATTCGAATAAAACAATCGATTCTACAATCAAAAATTACTTGCAAAAAATAGATAATCCAATAACTCCAGTAATCTCAACAAAAAAGGTAATACCATTATATTACCTAAACCTCTGCACGACAACTACAAAATGGATGAATCACAAATTAAACGAATCATCAAATCAAACGTTTCGGTCTGTGACGACAACAGTCGACTAAAATTCATTATATACTACAACACCAACCGCACCTCAAACCTCTTATTACTTTTATTACTTATCTTTCTATAATACTTATTAAAATAACGTCATTTTATTTTGTTTCAAATTTTGTTTTTTTATCCTTATCTAAATTATATATTAATTATAATAATAAATTTTAATTTCTACATTCACCTTTTTATATCGTCTTACTGACTTTCACTTTTAATATCATCCCGCCACGAAACACTTGTTTTTCCCGTCTAACTGAATTGTTTTATTATACTGTTATAATACTCGCTGTTGTAACCGATTTACGATCTTCGATTGAATAAAATACTTCAAACAGTTATTAGTTATTAAACTTTATTTACAGAAGAAATCAACTAATCGTTTATTTCTATCAAATTCAAATTAACGCAACAATTAACTTTTAAATTGTTTAAAATCTATCGCTATGACAACGTCAACAAACAAATCAAATATCGCTTTAAATAATTCACCGAATCGCTATTCACGAGATCACAAAATCACGAATTTCACTAATCACGGATTTCACTAATCACGGATTTCACTAATCACGGATTTCACTAATCACTAAACTTCTTGCGACGAGCGATTATATACTCTTCGCAAGCGTCGTTTCTAGATTCTTCTAGATGGTCCGATTCTAGCATACTCTAGAATGCTCCAGTCACTAGAACATTCTAGAATACGCTAGAATCTAGTGCGTTCGGTAGCACGGTTATAACGTTACCCCCTTCTTAGTTCTGTTCGTCCCGAACAGCTTTCGTTCCGGTGTCCGCATGGTACGGAGCCAGTCTATCCAAATGAACGATCTTCATTCTTGCACTCGGCTTCCGATATTACTGGATACGGTAGACGACGTCATTCAAGCGGGTGATGACTTGGTAAGGTCCTTCCCACCCTTGCTGATATGGTTTAATCGCTGTCGAAGATTATCCACGTATTCTGTAAAATCAGCAATCAACGCCTCGGCTTTTAGACGGTCTTCTTGATACAAATTAAGTTCATCTAGTAGATTTTTGGTAAGTTCTTTGAGTCTACCTTTGTCAGTTGGTAGAACCTTTTCCTGTTGCTCCATATCTAATGATTTCACCAAATTTATTGATTGGCAATTACCTATTTCCTCGCCTTTTTTAATTTTAATAGTGTGTTTAGCGGTATTTATTATTCTGACAGGAATAAGACCATTTTTGTTCGTTTCTACCAGGCATTTCCCAATGACCGCGTTCTGTACATTTGTCGTTGAGGTTGGCTCCATCAAATAGAACTGGTGGCCCCTTGGATCGCAATTCAACTTGCCCCATACGATGTTTTCAGATGATTGAGGTAGTTCTATGTCACAATTGACTGTCACTCGAATGCATTTTTCGTCGCTATCCCCCATTATCACTTCTGTATTTCTCCATCTAAGAATGCGTTTTTCTAAGTCAATTTTGAACCCATATTTTGTCAGAAAGTCGACACCTATTAAGTATTCGTCGATGATATCCGCGGCTAAGAATGAACCTTCGAATAACAAGTCGCCTAGCTGAACAGTACGGAGAATCTTTCCATAGACTGGTGCGGTTCCTCCGGTAGCTGTTCGAAGGATGTCTTTGTTAGAAGTCTCTTTCTTCAGATTAGGTACCAAATCAGATCTTAAAATCGATTTTGTTGCTCCGGTGTCGACTGTAATTACACATTCTCGTTGATCAACTTTTCCGTTCAGCCATAGGTCGTTTCGATTTCGATGTAGTCTGGAAACGTTAATTACGGTACCGGGGGCGTCAATTCTACTAGCCAACCTCTGACACAAAAAGTTGGCTCTTATTAGCTTTTCCGCCCCTTTGTTAGAAGGGGCCGATCGTGATACACGATCATCTTCTCTTCTTTTGCGCCATCTTGTCGCGCAATTTCGGCAGTAGTTATCTTTTAGGCGGTGCTTACAATCACGACGTAGATGGTCTTTTTCACCACAAATCCAGCATTGGGGTACACCATGCTGTTGGGGTTCGCGTTTCACAACCACCTTCTGGCAAGAGCATTCTTCATGTACTTGACGTATACAATGTGCAATACTTTTTGATGCTTGCTTTGCCGATTAAAAAGTGAGACTGTGCGCAACAGCATCCTTGAGTTTTCGTTTATCTGACAAGAGAAGGGATTGCTTGAGTTCCGAATCACGAAGGGCTTTGATAAAAGTATCCAGGGCAGTTTCGTCTCTATGCTCGGGGTCTGATGTTGGATACGACAGCAATGTCAACCGTTCGATATCTTGTGCCAGCTGCTGAATGGATTCACCAGATCGTTGCGTTCTGTTTCTAAGCTGAGACCGATAAATCTGTTTCATGTGTTCTTCACCATAACGTAAATCCAACGCGATAACCAGAACTTATAGTTGAAGTGGTTCTCCGCCGGAATCGTCTGACGAACCTCTGCTGCTGAACCTCGCAGGGCCAGTATCAGTGTTGTTGCTCGTTCTTTCCCGTTCCAACAGTTACTAGTTGCCGCTACTTCGAACTGGGTTTTATAAACGTTTCAGGACATCTCTCCGTCAAATGCTGGTACCTTCAAAGTTCTTCCGGATGCGTGATCTAACGGCATGGCCATTTTTTTGGATTGCTCCAGTTCTCGCTTCAATTTGTCTATCTTGTGATCTACCTCAACGGTCTGACGATCAAGTTTCTGCTCGATCATTTCTATTCTTGTTGACTGTTCTTCAATCTGTTCTGCCAGTTCCAATTTTACGTGTTTTAACTCCTCTGTCTGTCGTTCGGACTGTTCCTTGATCTGTTGTTTTAACTCTTCTGTCTATCGTTCGGACTGTTCTTTGATCTGTTTTAACTCCTCTGTCTGTCGTTCGGACTGTTCCTTGATCTGTTGTTTTAACTCTTCTGTCTGTCGTTCGGACTGTTGTTTTATTTCAGTTGACATACTAAGCAGAAGTTCCATCATTTTAGCGGTTGTAAACGTGCCTGTGCTAATTTCATTATCTTCGTCAGCACCATCAAACTTGAATTCGTCTGGGTTCTTACCTTCGTCAATGAGAGCTTCTCTCAGACGTGCTACTAGTACTTCTTTGTTGCCACTTGTGACAAGGCTTCGTTTCTGTAGTTTTTCTCGTAGCTGAACTACGTTCAAACCACACAGTTTTGACATCGTGTTTTTTTTCTATGAGTAGTAATTCGCTAGTCGAAGATCCCACTTCTGACACCAATGTTATAATACTCGCTGTCGTAACCGATTTACGATGCGACGGGTTCAAATCTTCGATTGAATAAAATACTCCAAACAGTTATTAGTTATTAAACTTTATTTACAGAAGAAATCAACTAATCGTTTATTTTTAGCAAATTCAAATTAACGCAACAATTAACTTTTAAATTGTTTAAAATCTATCGCTATGACAAATAATTCACCGAATCGCTATTCACGAGATCACAAAATCACGAATTTCACTAATTACGGATTTCACTAATCACGGATTTCACTAATCACTAATCTTCTTGCGACGTGCGCTTATATAATATATACTCTTTGCAAGCGTCGTTTCTAGATTCTTCTAAATGGTCCGATTCTAGCATACTCTAGAATGCTCCAGTCACTAGAACATTCTAGAATACGCTAGAATTTAGTGCGTTCGGTAGCACGGTTATAACAATAGGTTTTTACACAATTTTATTTACTTATCACGGTTGTGATATTTTGCTTCTAATTAAAAGGTCAAATTGAAAGACAAGGAAGAAATGGATCTAACAAAAGTGCAGATCAAACACCTAGAAGGCAAAAGTAATTGGTTGAACTGGAAGTCGAGAGTTTGTATAATACTACGCGGCATTCCTGATGCAATGGACGTAGAAATGGCAAATTAAAAATTCCAGATGAATTAAACGATGACTCAAATAAAGATGAGATAGCAAAATATCAAACTGCTTTGAACAGATTCAATAAAGCAGATTGTAGTGCTATGATTATTCTGTCAACCAACATGACCGATGAAACGTATGAAAAAGTTCGTTCATTCAGTAATGCCAGAGATGTTTGGTTAGAACTTCACAGATTGTATGCTGAAGTTAGTGAAGATAAAGCATACAACTTATGCATGAAGTTCTTCAGTTATCAAATAGATGAAAGCGATGATGTTGTCACTCATGTCACAAAACTCAAGAATCTTTGGAAAGATTTAAAGGTTGAGTTAGGAAAAGATGAAAACAGTGACTTGTTGCTGATGTGCCAAATAATTGAAACTTTGCCAGAAAAATATTTTTCATTTGCTGCAATTTGGAGATTGTTGAACAAGACTGACAGAACAGTCGAAACACTCACAGATCAGCTGTGTAGCTATGAGAGATCTTTGGAAGCCAAAACAGAATGTAATAAAGTATTATTTGTCAAAACAACAACTAAAAGGTCATCATCACTAAACATGAATGGTCAAAAACATGATAAATTTGTCAGCAAACCAAAGCGACTGATATGTCATTATTGCAAATTGCCAGGTCACATTGTAAGAAATTGTGAAAAATGGCATTCTGATGGTAGACCAGCAAAACCAAGAAATAACAATCTACGCGATAACAATAAGTCACTAGTTGTTATGAAATCAAGTGTTTTTGCAATTGATGAGTCAGCGTACACTGATGAATGGTTTTTTGACAATGGTGCAACGTGTCATCTAACTTTCCGAAGAGACATATTTCAAAGTTTTGAAAAATTTTCTCAACCGAGTAAATTATATGTTGCAAATGGTGATACTGTAGAAGCTTTTGGAAAAGAAATTATTCATCTTCAAGTGAAAGTGAATAATAAATGGCAAACTGTTAAACTTACAGATATCTTGTATGTGCCAAAAGTAAAAAGAAATTTGTTCTCAGTACTTGCAACTCAAGATAAGAACAGAAATAGCTCTTTTGTTTCAACCTCAAGAAGTTGTCATCTACTTATTGACAATGTGATAAATGTTGTTGGAATAAGAAACAACAATGGAGGTTTGTTCAAACTTGTTGCAAAAACTGTTAGACCGTTGAATTCTGAAGTCGAAGTTAACTTTGTCAATGATCAAGATGCATTGCAGTTATACCATGAAAGAATGGGACAACAGAATAAGAAACGTGTTAAAATTCATCGATCAAGAGATGTTATTTTTGATGAGAAGGTTGTCAAACCAAATTCAGTGATTTTGCAAGAAGAAAGTTGTTCAGATGATACAGTTTCGATTGATGTTGAAATCAAAGATGAAAATAAAGAAACTTTGATTAAAGAAAATATTTCAACTGATGAAGATGTTCACAACCGTAGTTCAGTTTTATCTGATGAAGAAGATCAATCTGACTGTTGTAATCAAAAGACCAAAGGTATGGTTT